TGAAAGATGGTGGTTGACAAAGATGTGTGTGAAAGATGGTGGTTGACAGATGGGGGTTGACAAAGTTGTGTGTGAAAGATGGTGGTTGACAAAGATGTGTGACAAAGATGGTGTGTGAAAGATGGTGGTTGACAAAGATGTGTGTGAAAGATGGTGGTTGACAGATGGTGGTTGACAAAGTTGTGTGTGAAAGATGGTGGTTGACAAAGATGTGTGACAAAGTTGTGTGTGAAAGATGGTGGTTGACAAAGATGTGTGTGAAAGATGGTGGTTGACAAAGATGTGTGACAAAGTTGTGTGTGAAAGATGGTGGTTGACAAAGATGTGTGTGAAAGATGGTGGTTGACAGATGGTGGTTGACAAAGTTGTGTGTGAAAGAGGGTGGTTGACAAAGATGGTGTGTGAAAGATGGTGGTTGACAAAGTTGTGTGTGAAAGATGGTGATTGACAAAGATGTGTGACAAAGATGGTGTGTGAAAGATGGTGGTTGACAAAGTTGTGTGTGAAAGATGGTGGTTGACAAAGCTGTGTGTGAAAGATGGTGGTTGACAAAGATGTGTGACAAAGATGGTGGTTGACAAAGATGTGTGACAAAGATGGTGTGTGAAAGATGGTGGTTGACAGATGGTGGTTGACAAAGTTGTGTGTGAAAGATGGTGGTTGACAAAGATGTGTGACAAAGTTGTGTGTGAAAGATGGTGGTTGACAAAGATGTGTGTGACAGAGGGTGGTTGACAAAGATGGGGTGTGAAAGATGGTGGTTGACAAAGTTGTGTGTGAAAGATGGTGGTTGACAAAGTTGTGTGACAAAGATGGGTTGGAAAGATGGTGGTGACAAAGATGTGTGTGAAAGATGGTGGTTGACAGTGGTGGGTGACAAAGTTGTGTGTGAAAGATGGTGGTTGACAAAGATGTGTGACAAAGTTGTGTGTGAAAGATGGTGGTTGACAAAGATGTGTGTGACAGAGGGTGGTTGACAAAGATGGTGTGTGAAAGATGGTGGTTGACAAAGTTGTGTGTGAAAGATGGTGGTTGACAAAGTTGTGTGACAAAGATGGTGTGTGAAAGATGGTGGTTGACAAAGATGTGTGTGAAAGATGGTGGTTGACAGATGGTGGTTGACAAAGTTGTGTGTGAAAGATGGTGGTTGACAAAGATGTGTGACAAAGTTGTGTGTGAAAGATGGTGGTTGACAAAGATGTGTGTGACAGAGGGTGGTTGACAAAGATGTGTGTGAAAGATGGTGGTTGACAAAGTTGTGTGTGAAAGATGGTGGTTGACAAAGTTGTGTGTGAAAGATGGTGGTTGACAAAGATGTGTGACAAAGATGGTGTGTGAAAGATGGTGGTTGACAAAGATGTGTGTGAAAGATGGTGGTTGACAGATGGTGGTTGACAAAGTTGTGTGTGAAAGATGGTGTTTGGCAAAGATGTGTGACAAAGATGGTGTGTGAAAGATGGTGGTTGACAAAGATGTGTGTGAAAGATGGTGGTTGACAGATGGTGGTTGACAAAGTTGTGTGTGAAAGATGGTGTTTGGCAAAGATGTGTGACAAAGATGGTGTGTGAAAGATGGTGGTTGACAAAGATGTGTGTGAAAGATGGTGGTTGACAGATGGTGGTTGACAAAGTTGTGTGTGAAAGATGGTGGTTGACAAAGATGTGTGACAAAGTTGTGTGTGAAAGATGGTGGTTGACAAAGATGTGTGTGAAAGATGGTGGTTGACAAAGATGTGTGACAAAGTTGTGTGTGAAAGATGGTGGTTGACAAAGATGTGTGTGAAAGATGGTGGTTGACAGATGGTGGTTGACAAAGTTGTGTGAAAGATGGTGTTTGGCAAAGATGTGTGACAAAGATGGTGTGTGAAAGATGGTGGTTGACAAAGATGTGTGTGAAAGATGGTGGTTGACAGATGGTGGTTGACAAAGTTGTGTGAAAGATGGTGTTTGGCAAAGATGTGTGACAAAGATGGTGTGTGAAAGATGGTGGTTGACAAAGATGTGTGTGACAAAGATGTGTGTGTGAACAGATGGTGGTTGACAAAGTTGTGTGTGAAAGATGGTGGTTGACAAAGATGTGTGTGACAGAGGGTGGTTGACAAAGATGGTGTGTGAAAGATGGTGGTTGACAAAGTTGTGTGTGAAAGATGGTGGTTGACAAAGATGTGTGACAAAGATGGTGTGTGAAAGATGGTGGCTGACAAAGATGTGTGACAAAGATGGTGTGTGACAGATGGTGGTTGACAAAGTTGTCTGTGAAAGAGGGTGGTTGACAAAGATGGTGTGTGAAAGATGGTGGTTGACAAAGTTGTGTGTGAAAGATGGTGGTTGACAAAGATGTGTGACAAAGATGGTGTGTGAAAGATGGTGGTTGACAAAGTTGTGTGTGAAAGAGGGTGGTTCACAAAAATGGTGTGTGAAAGATGGTGGTTGACAAAGATGTGTGTGACAGAGGGTGGTTGACAAAGATGGTGTGTGAAAGATGGTGGTTGACAAAGTTGTGTGTGAAAGATGGTGGTTGACAAAGTTGTGTGACAAAGATGGTGTGTGAAAGATGGTGGTTGACAAAGATGTGTGTGAAAGATGGTGGTTGACAGATGGTGGTTGACAAAGATGTGTGACAAAGATGGTGTGTGAAAGATGGTGGTTGACAGATGGTGGTTGACAAAGTTGTGTGTGAAAGATGGTGGTTGACAAAGATGTGTGACAAAGTTGTGTGTGAAAGATGGTGGTTGACAAAGATGTGTGTGAAAGATGGTGGTTGACAAAGTTGTGTGTGAAAGATGGTGGTTGACAAAGATGTGTGACAAAGTTGTGTGTGAAAGATGGTGGTTGACAAAGATGTGTGTGAAAGATGGTGGTTGACAGATGGTGGTTGACAAAGTTGTGTGTGAAAGATGGTGGTTGACAAAGATGTGTGACAAAGATGTGTGTGAAAGATGGTGGTTGACAGATGGTGGTTGACAAAGTTGTGTGTGAAAGATGGTGGTTGACAAAGATGTGTGACAAAGATGGTGTGTGAAAGATGGTGGTTGACAAAGATGTGTGTGAAAGATGGTGGTTGGCAAAGATGTGTGTGAAAGATGGTGGTTGACAAAGATGGGCGGCGGAGGCGGCGGCGGGATACAGAATCAAAAACAAGAACCCCACACAAAGATGTGGGGAAAAAAACATCTCATCTGGGAAGATGAATATGGTTACGAGGGGAAGAATATCCCTTGGAAATAAAAAAACGTTCTATAAAAGTTGGGAATCATGTAGATCATCTCCAAGAGCGGAGATTATGTAATCATATCGTACAAGGTGGGGGCCCATAGTTTTTTTTAGTCTGGGTTATAATTCTATCCAACTGTATCTGACTGCCCATCATTAAAAATACTTAATGCGGTACTTTCTTTCTTTCTGGGCGATTTGAAGCTCAGCTGCTCGCCAACGTGACACCTGGAATTCCGATGCAATCTTACATGGGCCTTTGCATGTCTCTGAGGCACAGACCTTGCGATAAAAAAAAATAAAAAATAAATCATAAAAAAGAAAAACTAAATACCTGCAAAGAACCATGCAAGTTTAATGTGGTACACCCAATACTAAACCATCCCCAATTTCGGTTTATTGGTGGGCATACCCCTCTTTGGAATGATGTAAAACGACCCCAAATTGTTGGTTGATGGGATGGTTTCTTATTGGGTTTACTGGGAAATTGACCCAGATAATCCCAGATATCGAGGATGAATTGGTATTTAGAATCGTGAATGATTGGGGGATACCGATAATATTGGGTGAATCCCGTTGATGATCCCATAATTAGTCACTATTAACCACTATTTACCCAGATTATTGTTGGCTGGTTCTACTTGACCGGATTGTGTTGACGCCAGGCTTCGGCCCAGCCTGCAATGACAGAGTGGCTTGGTGGCTGGAAAAAGTCACGAATGTTGTGAACCCAACGCCAGAACCCCCCGAATGTATCAGACGTGGATGGTACAAACTGTTCACAAACCATCCTTAAATAGTACATTAGGGTTTTTTTAGGCTTTGCCACACAACCCACAGTGTTTTCCAAACCTGCATAACTGCTTGATGTACTATGGCTGCATGTTGGCACGGGCCAGACGGTGCAACCCATCCGGTTTTCACATGTGCTTCCCACATGGGGGTTACTTAGTTTAATGAATGTGACTCTGCCCAGATCGAATAATTCTACACCCCTGTTGGTTGATGGTGGTTTTGGGTAATGGTGTTTGTTATTCTTCTTCCTTGGATATGTTTTTCTTGAAATGGTCATAATATTCTTAAAGCATGACCGTAGCTGAGGTCAAGTTTTTTTGGGGGGTTCAAGCTTCATAGGGAACGGCCCTTCTCAAAGAGCTGGCACATTCCAAGATCTTGCGGGGAACATATGACACAGTAGGGTAAAACTGAATATGTTCCATTAAACTGGCCATTAAACCATTATTAAAACATAAACAAAGGTCTTTGTCTATGTTGATGCTGCGAATGAGATGTTTTTGCCCGATTGAAGTGATCCCACAGAGTTGAAGCCTGGCCATGACTCCTTTTAGACGGGTCTCTTAGAAACATGGGAATTTCATGGAATTTCTCTAACTGAACATCGCCAGTCCAGATAGTAACTAGCTGGAAAGCCTGTTTTGTTCCCAAAAAAAATGGAGTGAATCCAGTCAAGTTGAACTGTCAAAGTGAGGCTCATGGACTCATGGGCTGCCTGGGATGCATATCATGGGTATATACCCTCCGGATATTTATCATGGCTATGGAAAATCATCAGTTTTAATAGGACAATCATGTTTATCATCTTTGAATGGGCCATGGCTTCCATAGCTATCTCAATTAGAGGCTGATTTCTCCAGGTTGTCAAACCCAGTCGATGTTTATTCTGTTGCCACTCAGGTCAGACATCCGAAGCTTGTTGGAAACAGCCACAGCTTCGGGCAATCCAGAGGCTGGGAGAAGGGTAACTGTACCATTTAGGACATGAAACCCGGATTCCAGTGTGGAGTGTTTACGGTGTAAGTGGAAAGGGGCTGCTTGAATGCAGTGTATCTACAGTCAGGAGTGTCAACAGACGAAGTTGACCTCAAAAGAATCCGGTCGATGTTCCTGGATGGTAGTTGGATTTTCATGGTTTAAACCTTTTGAGGCACCAAAATGCCAGGTGCTTTCTGAAACTCGACCAGCTAGTTGTCTCGACCAGCTTAACGAACTAATGGGAACCAGATTGCAGGTTTCACCCATTTTTAACACCTATCATTTTCATGGTTAAATGAAGGCCCTTTTGATTCCCCATAGCTAAAGGTTAATTAAGTCCAATTTATTGCTTTGATACATTCCCATTTCGGTAAAATCAAGTGAAATCGCCATTTTATGGTTGGCTTTTCAACCATTTTTCCCGAATGCGTAGCGAGGGTTCCCGTTTCACTCTGGGGGTTTTGGGGGTTGAGGCTGTGTTCGCCAGGCGTTGCACAACCGTTCGCAACCGTTCGCAGCCGTCCGCAACCGTCCGCGTGAGGGCCGCATGGCCGTGCCTATGGCAAGTTTTGCATCAGTGGTCTTTTTTGTATGTTTCAAATGTCGCGTAGCTTCGTTTCGCTTGGCATGTTTGTCACTTTGTGACATTCCAACATGTTTCATAACGTCTCGAAAGTCGTTTTGTGTGACAGGCGCAATACTTTCGCGTCGTTGTTGCAAAAGGAGTTGCATTTTTCAGGGCAGGCGCAGCAATTTGGAGACCTCTATGGTCATTTTGCGTGGCAGGCGCAGCACTTCAGACATGTCGCGTTGCGTGTTTTTTTTCAAATCGCAATATCAGGGCTGCGTCAAGTGGTGACAACGTGCAAATTCCATGCCAGGCGTGGCATTTTCTGAGATGTGCTGAAAATTGACGGAAGTCTCGCACGAAACATCGATTTCGAGGTCAAATACGTTGAGGTTCATGAGAAAACTCGTAGGAAAACGTCGATTTTGTAGCTAGAAGCATGAAAAATTGAGAAAGTCTCGCACGAAACGCAAAATGACACTCTCGCGATGCCCCACGCCTGCCACGCAATTTGCACGTTGTCACCACTTGATGCAGCCCTGACAATGCAATTCGCAAAAAACACGCAACATGACACATCTAGAATCTAAAGTGCTGCGCCTGCCACGCAGAATGAACATGGACACGTCCAAATTCTGCATGCCACGAAAAATGAAAGTCATCTTCTGAAAACCTTGCGAAAGTATTGCGCCTGTCACAAAAAACGACTTTCGACACCATTTGCAGACACGTCAGAATGTCAAGATGCACCATGCCTGCCACGCAAAACGACATTGAACCTGTTGGGACACCTTCGAAAAAGAGAGGTTCAGCAGCCCCCCCATAGGAATATCATTTTGCGTGGCAGGCGCAATTTTTCGGACACTTTACACTTTACATTCCACACTCTGCACCGACACACCACACTCTACAATTTACACTCTACACTTTACATTCCACACTCTACACTCCGCACTCTACACTTTTTACACTCCACACTTCACATTTTTGACTTACATTCTACACTTTACACTTTATAATTTACACTCCACACGCTACACTCCACACTCTACACTTTACACTCCACACTTTGCACTCGACACTTTACATTCCACACTTTACATTCCACACTTTACACTCTACACTTTACACTCTACACTTTACACTCTACACTTTACACTCCACTCTCTACACTCCACACTCTACACTGTACACTCCACACTTTACACTCCACGCTTCACATTTTTCACTTGACACTTTACACCGCATACTCCACACTCCACAATTCCCACCTCACACTCTACACACAACATTCCCCACTCAACATTCCACCTCCTTCACACTCCACACTTTGCACTTCACCCCCTTCCACATTCCACAGTGTCTACAGTGCACTGGTACGGTAACAGAGGAAACATGCACAAGACTCTTCAAATAACTTGTTTCACAAGAGTGTTTTACGTGACTGCATTCGGGTTCGTGGGCTGCTTCTTGCTTCTGGTTTTTCAGCCGCAGTTGAACGGTGCGTTTCGCTTTGCCGCTCACAGGCCATCAATGCGGTGGCGCGACAAGCGCAAATGGCTGGAATGTGCCCACGCCCAGGGGGAGTAGACCCTCATTAACCATGGCTAGCTGGGACATCCCCGAACTCCATGGGCATTTTGATGGGAAAGTCAGGTGGAAGTATATGGGAAATCACTTGAAATTACTTGAAATTATGAACACTATCCATTATTAATGGAGGTTTGGTTTGCCGGGAAAATGTTCAGACAAAATGGAAGAGTTTCCTTCGCTATGTTTCATTATCGGACACTAAACCAACAATGCTAGGGATAGCTTATGGGGATATTTTATGGAATGTTTTTGGAACACAACTTCAACCAACAATCTGATGTTCGGCGTTTCCAAACATGTGTGTTAACCAGAAACAATTGGGGTTGTAAAACTAGCATTCATAGGGGATCTGCTGTAAATATGGGATATAATGGTTTTGTAAAGACCAGCAATGTTATATTTGGGTGTTTCCGCAAATTGGGATGTACAGGCTCATGAATTCTGAGTCGCAACCAGTTTTGAAAGTTGGAGGTGAGTAGGTTTGAGCCCCGCATCTTGAATTTCATCGGTGTGCAAGCGGCGAATCAATTCAAATCAATGAATTTCAGCAACAGAACATGTTCTGAACTGCTTTGTTCCTGTCCGGAAAATAGATGGCTTTGGGTCTTAAATCGAGACAAAAAAACGCAATCTTAGGTGTCTTGGACCCCAACTTTTTACGATTTTGTGAGCCGCCTGTGTTTCCTCCAGTGTCATCAGCTCCATGACTGGAAAATTCCCCTGCCATAGTTCGATGATTTTCCCAGCTATGTTCCTTTCTTTCAAGATGTCATAGGCATGACCTCTAACTCCAAAAAAACTATCCCGGCAAGAGACCCCAAACAGTGTGGGGGGAGATGGGGATCATGTATCATGATGTGGATGATGATGATGATGATGATGAATAATGATGAATAATGATGAGGAAAATGACGATGCTGATGATGATGGTGATGATGGTGATGATGATGATGATAAAAATGTTGCGGACGATGATGTTGATTGAGGATGATAATGTTGCGGAAGAGGAGGTGGAGGAGGATGATGTTGCGGAAGATGAGGTGGAGGATGATGATGATGTTGAGGATGATGGGGATGAGGATGAAAATGTGGAAGATGAAGTTGAGTATGGTAAGGTGGAGGATGATGATGATGATGATGATGATGATGTGGAAAAGGGGAAGATGATGATGTGTAGGATGATGATGTTGAGGAGGGGGAAGACGATGATGTTGAGGATAGTTTACAGTGCGTAGGAACCCTTCAGTGTGGACACACTGTTTGTGAAACGAGCCAGATGACTTGCAAACGAATGCTGTGGTTGGTTCAAACCATATAGTTTTTGTGTGTTTATGTCCAAATATATTGTTCCAACATTAATAGCCATTTTTTGTGAGTGAACTTTAGATCTTCACATACCGTAATTGTGTCATCCCTGTCATCCATCGGCATCCTACATTCCAAGAGAATTTTAGCGTCCTCAAAGTGACGTCATCAAAGACACGGTATAGGCTATGTAGAGTAGGGGGAATCCCCCCGTTAGAATCACCTTTAATTGGTTTCGTGCAAATCCACTGGTGGGGTACACGTCATTACACATCGGTTGTGCCGGCCAAAGCCCAGTTTTTGTTTGTTATCCTCCAGCTTTATATATATTTCTGTTGGTTATCTGTTGGTTATCTGTTGGTTCATTCCCATATGCTTGCAGTTGGTCCCAATTTTCGTTGGTTGAACCCCATTCTTCCTTGTTCCCTCGAGCCTCTTAGGTCGCCGGAGCCAGCCCGGACATGTTTCAATCCCAACCACCTGATATACATGGTTGATCCATGTTGATATAGTTGGTAAACATTTGGTTGATCCTTGCTTGATCCCATATCCGTACTACTCTTCAATATGCGAACATGTGAATGACATTCCAAGCACTTATGGCTTGGTATCGTTGAAACCCGGAGTCGTGGCCCATTTCTTTGTGGAGCTTTCTTCTCCCTTAGCTACAATATTTATATGTATATATATATATACATATGTGTATACATACGTACATATATATATGTGTGTGTGTGTACATACGGAGGCTTCCTAAAATCGGTGTACCCCAAGTCACCGTGTTTGTTTCAATATTAAGTCATTGTCATCCATGACTTGGATGATTTGGGGTACCCCATTTTGGGAAACCCCGATATATAATCATCCCGGACTAAACATATTCCCATTTTAGCGAGTTTTTTCGAAACAAAATCAATGTTATATCTACTCCAGGATGTTTCTTTGATTATGTGTGCATACTAATTACCATGCTGTCCATCCAACTTATTGGGATGATCCTATCCGACACTGGATATTTTTTCTGGCTGGGCAACACCGAACATCCTGGGATCACTTTGCCATGACTTTGCTATATCCCTCCAGAAGTTGCGAGATACTGTAACCGGTTTCCTAAAATGGGGTTGTACCCCCGAAACATCTATTTAAATAAGATTTTCGATTAGAAATTATCCATTTTGAGAGCGCCCCATATGTATATATATATTTACACATACATACATACATACCTTACCTTGCCTTGCCTTGCCTTGCCTTACCTTAGCTTACCTTTCCTTACCTTACCTATACATAGATACGTACATACACACATACATGCATACATAGATACACACCCTGCTGTTAGACAAACATAGATGTGGAAAACCCACCATTTCTAGATTATTTTCCTAAACCATGGGATGTCCACATCTACGTGAGTTTAGAGTTTATAATTCCGAAAATTATGGCCATACGACATCATATAATCAGTGGGAACAGGGGGGAATATTCCATGTATAATCTTTAAAACCCATTACGCCCATCTTTCTGGGGTATGTCCACTTGGGATATATGAACATATTCCATTCGGATGAAATTCCTCATCCACCCGATTCAATTCCGCCAGGAAATTCAGATCGCTACTGCCCCCCCCAACTTCGGCATGAGGCTTGGCGACCCAGGGACCCAACAAGACGCATGGGATTTCACCACGCAAAGTTGGATTGACTTAGGGTTTAGTGAGATTTGTTGCTTTAATCCCATGGAAAATAGCGATTGAACCAAAAATATTTTTTGAGGAGAAGTGGGCATACAAAGCAACAACCACGAGGATAAAATTGATACAATGGTGATATACTAGGGGTTTAATGGTGATATAATCAGATACTATGATAATACACAACGATATGGAAATCTATGATGTTTCCGGTTCGGAAAATGATCTACAAATGGTTGGGCTATGGCAGCCGAATTTGCTTCTAGGTAAATTCCATATTTGGCTTATTTTATTGGGTAGTACTTGTAGCCAGTTGCAAACAATGAGTTATACAGTGTATTGGTGAATCATGACATACAAAAATGGCTTACAATTCTGAATCCATTTTTTTCATCTAACATACCACGGGTTGAAATGGCTATCTATGGGTCAAAACCGGTGGATTTTCCTGGGTTTTCACACCGAAATAGTTGGTGAATTGATTCATCCTCACAAGATATGGTATCGGCTTTAATCTATCCCTGCATGAGCATCATACTTCGGGATTATTTTGGGTATGTTCAAGCCCGAGACGTAAGTCCTTACATGATTGGATGTTGATGAGTTGTTCCAACTTCTGAGGGTCAAACATGCTGACATCGCAAGAAACCAAGAAGATGTCAAGCTCAGAAAGGTATCGGACAGTTGCTGACAGTATCCAATGGTACAACAACTCTTAGTTCTATTTTCGACCTTTATCTCACTTGTTGCTGTGTTACCTCTGTCAGGAACCAAGAAAGAGTGACCCCAGAAGAATATGAATGGATGCCACCTTTTCAATGTGGGTCTTTGATAGGGTGTCGCATGGCAGAGACTAGTCACTGGTGGGACTCTCACGCACAAAGCACATTGACTAGGAATGAAGGATTTGCTATCAGCAGAGACATGTTCATCGGATTTTGCCAGGCGCCGTGGAAGTTATCAATTATTTGATCCATGAAATGAACCCTACATGAAATTCTTTGCAAAAATATGGCGCAAATTTCATGGTAAGTATATAAATTTGGTTTGATATTTTTGTTTCTACAAAAACTGACCGAATATAGCAAGACTAGACCATGAGAATACGCAACGACATAATTATCGAAGGAAGTTTAGAAGTCAAACTTCCGACAATATGGACAGATGAAAAGCAGAGCAGGGCAGAGGCAGAGAGAAGAGGAAGATTAGAAGAGAGAAGATCAGAGAAGAGAAAGAGTAAGAAGAAAGAAGATGCAGATGCGCGAAAAGGTAGGAAAGTCGCGAAACACTATGTTTTTCCAATGATTTGTGGCTCCGGAGGGTCGAAAAGTAGGCTCGCTAAAGCGGCGGGTGCGGAGCCCGCTGGCCAGATGAGTGAGTAAAAATTGCACGCCGTTGTGGCGCGAAGCACATTTGGGAGTCAAAATGTGCAAAACACACCAGGTCCGGACCACTTTTGGAAGTTGAGATGTCCAAAAAGTGCACGCCGTTGTGGCGCGAAGCACATTTCCAAGTCAAAATGTACAAAACACACCAGGTCCGGACCACTTTTGGAAGTTGAGATGTCGAAAAAGTGCACGCCGTTGTGGCACGAAGCACATTTCCAAGTCAAAACGTTAAAAACACTAGGGGTTCGACCACTTTTGGAAGTTGAGATGTCGAAAAAGCGCACGCCGTTGTGGCGCGAAGCACATTTCCAAGTCAAAATGTACAAAACACACCATTGTCGGACCACTTTTGGAAGTTCCGATGTCGAAAAAGTGCACGCGGTTGTGGCGCGAAGCACATTTCAAAACACTAGGGGTTCGACCACTTTTGGAAGTTGAGATGTCGAAAAAGTGCACGCCGTTGTGGCGCGAAGCACATTTCCAAGTCAAAACGCGCAAAACACCACATGTTCGCGCCACTTTTGGAGGTTCGGATGTTGAAAAAGTGCACGCCGTTGTGGCGCGAAGCACGTTTCGAAGTCAAAATGTACAAAACACTAGGGGTTCGGACCACTTTTGGAGGTTCAGATGTCGCTTCGCTTCAAGACACTACACTACAGGACATTACACTACACTACACGCCAGTACACTACATTACACTACATGGGCTATGGTCCACCGTGTGCCCGGGCCCGCGGGCCCGCGGAAGCCCGTGGGCCCGCGGGGCGAGCCCGCGGCGGGCCCGCGGGCCCGCGAAGGCCCGCGCTAGTCTTGGGCTATCGGGCCCGCGCTAGTCTTGGGCTATAGTCCACCGTGACCTTCAGCCCGTGCAACACTAGAGACCGGCAACAGCAATGCAAAGTAATGAAAACATTCGCACATTTTGAGACATTCTGAGCAAATTTGAAGAATTTTGAGCATTTTGGAGCCGTTTTTGTGGACCAGCTTGGGTCTTTTCGAGCAAATTTCAAACAAATTTGAGCATTTTTGTCGGGCAAGTTGGGGTCATGTCGAGCAATTCTGAGCAATTTTTGGAAGCACGATATGGCATTGTTGACCTTAGACAGTGTTCAAGATGTCTCAGTTGAGGCTGCTTTGAGACATCCTACTTTAGCTGAAAAAGGTAGCTGATGTAAACCCCACGGATCTAGACCCTAAAAGGTAAGGGCGTCTCTAAGAGGCCGTGTGTTTCAGCACATGGATATGTTTCTATTCAATTATGTTCCAAGGTTTTGCCACAACGAGAGCGGTTTTTCACAGATATCTATATTTTGCGGGTGTATCAAAAGTCATGGAAGGGTATGGAAAAATGAGAGTCACGGTGTGATTTCAATGGTTTTTGTGGGACGAAAGCCATTAGCTTGGAAAAGCGTTACGCGTTTTCTTTTGCGTTGCCGACGTCTTTGTTTTAGCCGCTTTTGCGGCCAAATATCATCAACGTATCATCAACGCATGATTAGCGTAACATCAACGTATCCACAGCGCATGATCAACGTATCATCAACGCATGATCAACGTAACGTCAATGTATCAACAGCGCATCATCAACGGATGATCAACCTAACGTCAACGTATCATCCACGTACCATCAACCTAGCATTAACGTATTAACAGCGAGCGCATGATCAATGTATCATCAGCGTATCATCCACGTCGCATTACCTTGCACGCAAGCGATACATGAACGTTATTGGACCCCCCCACCCCAACAGTAGCATCAACATCTCCTCAACGTAGAATTAACGTATGATCAACGTAACATCAGCGTAACATCTACGCCGTATCACCTTGCACACAATAAACATGAAT